AGTTTTCAAAATAGGCTAGATAAATACATAAGTGGGTGTGGGTGGGTGTGAGTTGGACCTGACTAGCTTGTGCTACTAGGTCTGATGCCATGCCCCTTCCTTAAGTGGATGTGTGCTGACCTGACTAGGTGGGTCATTGGTTTAAGCCGGGAGGTGACTTGGAACTGCCTCCCATGGGCCAGCAGGCTTGCTGCAGTGTTCTTTCTTATGTTCTAATTTTCTATGGGAGTTGATTATGATTTAGTCATACCAAATGTGCATTCAGAAAATATATTTAACTTTACGAGTATTGAGAAACTTTTGTTTCCCATTGGCTGCAATGGCTTTTGTCAACAGTAGAATGGTTTTGCAGCTTGTGAATAAACCTATCCTTCATTAGAAAAGTAGCAGCTTCAAGATTGGAAAGCCATATTTTGTTGTAGCTTTCAGCAATCCTGAAACAATGAAATTACACAACTTTTGTGTGATCTTGAACAACTTCCCCAGCTCTGTTTTTGTCTGAATACATACGAAAATCTTGAAGGTGTACAGCAAATGTGCCATCCAATGGGTATACTGCAACTCCTCCTGGAGATTAAAAACTAGTTTCTGAAAGTGGCACACCACTCTGTTCATTAATCACGGCTCCAGGCCCCCCTTAAGAGGCAGCTAATGGCTGAGAAGTGAACTCTGTTATGTATGGTCCAATTTCTTTCATTTTTGGTGTACTTTACAAAGCATCTTTCCATCATACATTGCCCAAGTTTCAATAAGATAGCCCAACAAACAACTGAGAGAAAAAAAAATATTTACCAAAAATCATATATGGCAAGCCCAAGCCAGGTACTAGAAATAAGTCATTGTGTGACTTTTTTGGATTATTCTAGGTTCTCTACACATATGCTGCTATGTATGATAATCTATGTAGAGAAAATAGCTTTTTTGCTTCAGTTTTAAGGTGCATTATGAGTGTATATCACAGTTAGCCCTGTGCTATACTCCATTTTCTCTAATGTAAGCCACCAAGACGAATAGGAGGATGGTACTTGTATCCCATATCCTCTTCATACCTCCGTCGAACAGCTCGGTATTATGCCAAATATTATTCATTCTGGAAAATTTACAATGTTTTTGTTATTTATATTGTTTATTATGTCATATTAGATCAACTGTGATAGGTAAATAAGCCGCAGTGCTGATATTAGCGTAATAATAAAGCATATTTCCCTGCATCACCAGACTGAGCTCATGGCAACAGACAGTGGCTTGAAAGCCACCTTTTATGGACAATGTACTGTGTATGTGCTTTACACAATGAGAAGCATTTCTTTTATTTGTTGGAACCATGAGGCCATGAGGCCTGGTCACAGACCAGGCCGCGGGAGCATTGATCCCCGGAACTCTCTCCAAGTATACTCCAGGTATGGCTAGGGCTAAAAGCAAGCAGGTTATAACAATAAGTGGAGAAAAAGAAATTGGAATGACTTATGCAACAAGTAGCGCCACCAAACAGTAGCAGCAGGTTGGTGTGGCGACCCTGGAAATTTGAACTTATGCTAGCTGAAATCAGTGCCAAATAACTGTAGGAACCAAATAACTGATTGCCGGATTTGTGATGGCGGACCTGTACCAGAAACACTGCTAGAACAAAGGTAGAAGTTCTCAAGAGGAAACAGGATCACCACCTCCTGTAAGTGCCAGGCCACTAGCAGCAATAGCTTGGTTGGCCAGGCAGTCAACAAGAAAACCTGGCCCTGACTTTCAGCTTGACTGAAAGGGTAAAAAACCCTCAAAACCAGACATAGATTTGTAACAGAAATGTCTACCTATTGGGCCAAGGTGGAGATTGTACTTCTATGCATTTTGGGGAAAGTGCATTAAGCTGCTGGTAATTGTGTTTGTAGGACAAAGTATTCGGTAATGTGTCTGTACTATGGCATACAGCTCATGATATGGCAGTGCAAGTTGTTCAAATCCCCACTTTAGCTTGGGGACTCTATTAAAGTCAGCATGAGATTTAAGCAAATCAGCTGCAATTTTGTCAAAGTTATGCAGACTATGATTTCTCATACAAGCAGATTCTCTTCCTGCTGCTAGTCTGCCTGCTTCTCCTCTTGCTACTGGGCAATTTAGTCCTGTAGGGTGCTGGCAGGAAGACCCTGGTTGGCCAGGTGGTCAACAATGAACTCTGACCCACGGCCAGACTCTCAAAGCCAGTGCACGGTATGTCACAAGTATGAGTATCACAATGAGCTAAGCAAGCTAAACCTGTAGCATGACAGTAAATGGTACGTGATTATCAACAAATTGTATGTCAAAATGACACAGTGCAGTTTTAGGAAACTTTAATATGGTTTCTAAAAACTGTCCTTTGGTTATTGTAACAAAACTAGCTGTCTCCCACCAATGTAGGATGACCCAAAAAAGAAGAAATGCTTTTTCCATCACTGTCTTGCTAGAGGGGCACTGATACAACAATTTAAAACCGCAAATATCCCCATCCCTCCTTCAGAGTGTAGGCACTGTACTTCCCACCTCCTGGACTCGAGTCCAGCTAACCAGTTTCCCCGAATACCTTCATGAAAGTTACCTTGCTCACACTCCAAGACATGTGTTATTAAGCATTCTAACTGAAGTCATTATATGCTTTTACAACCAAGTCAGCAAGTCACTGGAGACATAACATGACACTAATCCTTCTCACACATGTCTGTGCCACTTTATATATCAACACCAATAAAAATATTTAACCACACTGGCCATTTCTCTCCAAGGATGGGTAACCCATAGATGTAAATGCATTCACCATCACTCATTTTCTAGCTGTCTTTCCAGAAGTGCACTTATTACAATTCAAATGATCCTCTGAAATGCAACACACAACCAGTCCTTCAGTATAAGTGGATAATATCAGACATTAATTTTCCTTTAGTGACCTAGATATTTTCCAGAGTTTTTTTTCAGCGAATTCTATACAAAAATTATTCATAGATGCCGACATTATTCTCAGAGGTGTGTCTGAAAACAAACTATAGTGCATGTTTCCCATCAAATCTAAGTGTTGATAAAGTATCAAATAGGAGCCAATGGGCAGGAAATATGGAATTCATATGATTAAGCAAACAGTACAAAATACAGGGAAGTTAATACTATTTATGATTTAATTTACAGTACTATTTGCTATTTTATGCCAAAAATAAGTTGTTTTTTTTTTGTAAATATTTGTTTGATTTGTTTGTAAAAAAAGATTGTATTTTTTTATTATTATAGTACAATGCCTACACTTTAAAGGAAGGGTTTGGGATATTGGCAGTTTGGAGGGACTTCTAAACTGTCATATCCGAGTGCCTCTGCAAAGACAGTGATTATGTACGAGTGATGGTGAAAGTGTTGAATGAGGATGGAAGTTTTTTCTTTCTGTTTGGGTTTTTCTTTCTGTTTGGGTGTCCCTGCCTCGGTGGGAAATGTCTGACATGTTAAAAAAAAAAAAAATTCTTTCTCATGTAGATAGTAGGTTGATAGACAGCAACCACCCAGGGAGGTACTACCATCCTGCCAAGTGAGTGTAAAACAGAAGCCTGTAATTGCTTTACATAATGGTAGGAGTATACCTGGAGAGGGTTTCAATGGTCAACGCCCCCACGGCCCAGTCTGTGACCAGGCCTTATGGTGGATCAGGGCCTGATCAACCAGGCTGTTACTGTTGGGCACACACAACCCAACGTACGAACCACAGCTTGGCTGGTCAGGTACTGACTTTAGGTGCCTGTCCAGTGCCTTCTTGCAGATAGCCAGGGGTCTATTGGTAATCCCCCTTATGTATGCTGGGAGGCACTGAACAGTCTTGGGTCCAACACTTATTGTGTTGTCTCTTTTCGTGCTAGTGGCACCCCTTCTTTTCATTGGGGGGATGTTGCATCGTCTGCCGAGTCTTTTGCTTTCATAGGGAGTGATTTTCATGTGTCACAAAGGTTCTCTGTACATTTTCTAGATCAGCAATTTCATCTGCCTTGAAAAGTGCTGTTAGTGTGCAGCAATATTCCAGCCTAGATAGAACAAGTAACCTGAAGAGTGTCATCATGGGCTTGGCATCCCTAGTTGAGTTCTGGTATCTTTTTTCTGTCTCATAAACATGCAAGATTTCAGGTACATCTTGCTACTTCTACTTACACTCAGGTTACACTACACTTGCATGAACAAGCATATACATATACATACACACCCCTATGGGTTTTCTTCTATTTTCTTACTAGTTCTTGTTTATTTTCTCTCATCTCCATGGGGAAGTGGCACTGAATTCTTCCTCCATAAGACATGTGTGTTGTAAGAGGTAACTAACATACTAGTAACCCCTTTTCCTGTATACATTACTAAAGTTAAACAGAGAAACTTTCATTTTTCTTTTTGGGCCATCCCGCTTCAGCGGGATACAGCCGATTTGTTGAAAGATGATTTCTTTCTCATTATATTAAATTTTTTTTATGATATGGCTCATGTTTTGTGGGTTTATTTTTTCAATTGGTCATAAAATTTGAAAGTTTTATTTTCACTTTTTTGAGGTTAGAAATGAGAGTTGCTTCAAACTAAATGATTTTCTAATATATGCTTCATTTATAAACAAAATTACACTAAGTGAACAGTAGCTAAGCAAAGAACTACTGAACAAACAATAACAAAAAAAATATGAAAAATGGTATGGTGATACTGACAAGATGTGGAAAAAGACACTTATGTACAGTTCAGGACATTTATTAGAGGAAACATTTTGCCATGAGTGACTTCTTCAGTCCTTAGGACTGAATGTTTTGCCATGAGTGGCTTACTCAGTCCTTAGGACTGAATGTTTTGCCATGAGTGGCTTCTTCAATCCTTAGGACTCAAGAAGCCACTTGTGGTGAAACGTTTCCTCTAATAAATGTCCTGTAATGTACGTTAAGTGTCTTTTTCTAGCAAAAAATATATGCCTCTGCCATTAACCTTCCCTGCAGCTGTGATCAAAAGCAATTAACATACAGACTTACTTTTCCATGGGGAGGGCAAGTGAAGGAATACTTCATGAGCTCCGAAACTGTTGGATGCTCTGGTAGTTCATGATGGCTCCTTAAGAAGGACTTGCAACAATAACATGATGAGATCAGCTTGTGAGAATATTTTGTATCAGCATCCTCACTGTTAGAGAGCTTCTTCTCGTCAGGTGCCTTGTCCATGCCTTGAGGGTTTTCTTCTATTATTGTTGAACCTGACAGGAAACAAATTATAGCATAATATAAAATTTTAGTATACTGTATCTGGATAGACATTTAGGGAAGTGATGGTCAAATTTTTTTCTTTTTTAGGTCACCCTGCTGGAAAAACTGATGTTTTCTCTAGTAACTTTCCATTTTTGGGAGGATAACTTATGTATAATCTCCCTAAATATTAAAACTGCCTTCATGCATTAAAAAATATTTGGAAGATGTAAAACAGAAGCAAAACAAATTCAACATATTGATCTACTACATAAGTGAGGCAGTTTCTACCTACTGGATAGCTATTAATTAAAACTGACACAGTAAAACATATTCTAAATTGACTAATATTTTCTGGCAAAATTTCGTTTAGATCACTTACTAATTCTATCTGACAGTTAAAACTCTCATTAGCCTTTTATTGTACATTTCTTTCTACAATAAATAATCTTAAGATTTCCCCAAAATTTTAAGCAATATTACCAATAGGCAGTGTTCCAGCTTCACTGTAAGTTCCTCTGCGGCTGTCTGTAGCTGAAGATCCATAAGCATCCATTAACGACCCATCTGTGCTGGCTCCACGACTGTGACACAAGTCCCGGCCTATAAGTATTTGGTAAACAGGTAATGAGGAGGAAAACTCCTAAAACTATCTCTGAACATTTTATTCTGGTTAAAAAGGCAATTTTGTGAGGAGGCCTTGACAAGGTATGTATTGCAAAGTATGGTATGGTAGCTCATGTACTGAGAGGTCCATGGTTTGAGTCCCAGTATGGATAGAAGGTACATTTCCTCACACTTGTTGCCCCTGTTCACTAAGCAGTAAGTAGGTACAGTGGTATAAGGCGACTGTTGCAGGAAAATGGTGTGGGTCATATCCAGGGTTAGTATACCTTGGAGAGGGGCCAGGATTTGAAATGCATGGAGGTAGGATAACAGCTCTTTGCCTGTAAATTCCATTATTTAAAATGTCTAAATATTGTGCAGAGAATTTGTAGTTTGGAGATTAGGAGGTGTGGGGTTACCAAAAGTATTATCCAGAGGTTGAGGAGGGGTTACTGAGGTTGTTTGGACATTAAGAGAGAATGGAGTAAAATAGGATAACTTGAAGGATGTATAAATCTGTGGTGAAAGGAAGGTGGGGGTAAGGGGGGGTCACCCTAGGAATGCTTGGAGAGAAGGGGAAAGTAAAGGAGGTTTTGTATACTTGGACATCCAGCAGGCATGTGTGAGCATGTTAGATATGAGAAATGTTTTATATGACCTGACATGCTGTTGGAGTGTGAACAGTGGAAGTGTGAAGGAATTAAGGGAAACCGGTTAGCCAGACTTGAGTCCTGGAGTTGGAATGTACAGTGCCTGCACTACCAATTAAGTGGGAGATGGCCAGTGTGTTAAAAAAATAGAGATAAGGGAAGCAACAATACCATTTCCAGAATTATATATAATATCAATTACTGAGTGAAAATAACAATAGCATACTGAGAGTTCCATAATGGAGAAGTTGATCAGTATTTAGTTATCAATGCTGAACAGTGTTCTGTAACAGAGAAAATATATTTTGTTTAACATCTACCTACCTCACAATTTTGCCTACAGTAGCAACCTTTATCAGGGAAGGTTAAACATTAACTACTGTTAAATGAAAATGTGAAAAGATTCCACAATAAGAGAATATCTATATGTATTAATATTTAACGTTGATTGCACATCAAGAGATTTAGTGAGACCAGCTTATCTGGACTTAGGTGGGATATACAGTGCCTGTGCTCTGAAGGAGTGATGGGAATTTTGTAGTCAGTAGGGTGATTTCAAGTGTGATGCCTGTGCATTTCTAGCAATGGAGTTATTGAATGAATGATGATAGACATTTTCTTTTGTGGGTCACCCTCCTTTAAAGGGAGATTGCTAATATAATAAAAAACTACACAATCCAATTCTCTGGGAAGATATATATTATACCAATCATGTTAAAGACAGTACTGTATTTACTAGAATGGAATACTAAAAGTAATGACTAAACCAAACCTCTGAGTTGATACTGATATACTTCACACAGGTCTACTTAAGCCTAGTACAGCACCAAGCTTTCTTTTGACAACTAACACAGCAATGTGGTGAACAAATGGGAACCGGTATGACAGTCTTATCAGTGATCTCACTTTTATCTATTTCATCTCAAGGTCATACTCATAACTTACAGGGAACCAAATGAAACTAGAAATCTACATACTAGACATACGGCCAACAGATGCTTCACATGATGAGATCTGACTGGCTCCTCGACTGTGGCTCATGCGAGGTCCTGCAGCTGTAGAACTGCTTTGGGTCACAGAAGTGCCATCTCCAACATTAACAGATGCAGGCTTAGTATCTGATCCCTCACCTGTACACAATAATCACCATAAAAAGCTGCAGTTGTTTAAGATACAAGATTTTATTGCTCAGTAATAAAATATTAAAATATTTGTTATAATTCCCTATTTTCCAAATCTACATCTTGATCACCATTAATGCTAGTAAAATTATGGCAGTTCACATTGTATAATATCTTTAAAAGGCAGCAGTGACTCCTTGATCAAAGGGCTTCAAAATAGAAATCAAGAGGGCACATGAGAACAATTATCATAATTTTGGGGTACCAGTAAAAATGAATCAGTTTGGTGGACAGAAGCACTGCCCAGAAGGGCTTTAATGGGAAAAATTATTTTATTTCAGGTAAGCCTTGATTCCATGTACAAAACATTGGTTGAATTATTTCCTGAAAGGACCACAAGCGTAGCACTCCTTTTGTATCTACTACTAACCACCAAAATCAAATGGTATACAAAAGGCTCAGAACATGCCTCGATACTAAAAGTAATAAACTATACATGTATATATGAAAATGTTTACAAGAAGAATTTAGTAGAAAGTGCTGTTATAGATCAGTTTTTTTTTTTTTTACATTTAGATCACATTAACTTAATAGTGAAAGACTCGCATGCAGCACTAGCAAAATTCAAAATAGTCTTCAGATACAGTGGACCCCCGCTTAACGATCACCTCCCAATGCGACCAATTATGTAAGTGTATTTATGTAAGTGCGTTTGTACGTGTATGTTTGGGGGTCTGAAATGGACTAATCTACTTCACAATATTCCGTATGGGAACAAATTCGGTCAGTACTGGCACCTGAACATACTTCTGGAATGAAAAAATATCGTTAACCAGGGGTCCACTGTACATGGATTACAAAATGCTAAAGTAAAGTAATAGTAGTGTAGAGTCCACACTTAAGAAAAAAACATGCATTATAGTACTACATAGTATAGTACTACATCGACCAACTGTTTTAAAATATAAAAAAAATATCACAACTATAGCAAACATTATATAAATGCACATATAAAATCATTGTAATAATTATCACCTTTCTCTGTTACATTATTCTGCACTTGGGAGTCTTCCTCAACATTATGCACTGGAGATGACAAAGGGACATCAGGCACGTGTGGCCCAGGTGTGTGGGACGGCTCAGTGTCGACAGCAACAGGAACTGAAAAGAATTATTAAATTATCAGAACTTTTATTAACAAAATATTTTATATAGTACTGTACTGTAAATAGTAAGAAAGTTTATTTAGGTACAGGTATACACAAGTACAATAATCATACATAGTGTATATTAACTAGTATAACCCAAGAAAGTCAGACAGAGTGACTTATTTCCACTGAGGTCTGTTTGATGGTGGCAAACAGAATGACTAAGTAATAATAACAAAACTGATTTTCATTCAAGAAAACAGTTAATGTGGTTAATAAAATACACAAATTGGATGAATGGAAAGGGAAACAGATGAGTTATGATCAAAGCAGAGAAGAACAGGAGTGAAGTAATATAAAGACAGAACTGACAACATTCTGCTCAAAGATTAGCTTCAAGCCATTTCAGAAAGCTCTCCATTAAGAAAAATTTTGCTTAAAAAATGCTTATTCTCTTATAACCATCTTTGTATTACCACATTTGTCAGAATTTTGCCTACCAACCAGAGCAGAAGTGTACGTAGGAGGGAAGAGTGTAAGGAGACACAAAGAGGAGGCAGTTGAGATATAGTAAAAGCAGAGAGAACATGTTTGCAGGCAGTAAGGGTGTTTATCAGGTAACACATGCAAGATGCCCAAACATCAAGTGAAGGAAGGTTGTTGTGAAACATTAATAATAATAATAATAATAATAAAAGGTAGTAGGTTGGTAAAAGGTAGTAGGTTGGTAGACAGCAACCGCCCAGGGAGGTACTACCGTCCTGCCAAGTGAGTGTAAAACGAAAGCCTGTAATTGTTTTACATGATGGTAGGATTGCTGGTGTCCTTTTTTCTGTCTCATGAACATGCAAGATTTCAGGTACGTCTTGCTACTTCTACTTACATTTAGGTCACACTACACATACATGTACAAGCACATATATACACACCCCTCTGGGTTTTCTTCTATTTTCTTTCTAGTTCTTATTCTTGTTTATTTCCTCTTATCTCCATGGGGAAGTGGAACAGAATTCTTCCTCCGTAAGCCATGCGTGTTGTAAGAGGCGACTAAAATGCCGGGAGCAAGGGGCTAGTAACCTCTTCTCCTGTATATATTACTAAATGTAAAAGGAGAAACTTTCGTTTTTCCTTTTGGGCCACCCTGCCTCGGTGGGATACGGCCGGTGTGTTGAAAGAAGAAAGAATAATAATAATAATAATTTCTTTATTTAGTATAAGTACATGTACAAGGTATACAGGCCTAGCTGATATCAATGACATACTACTATATAGAAAGCCCCTTGTTATGCAGAGCACTTCAGGTAAATTAGGCCAGTTTCGTCCCAGGATGCGACCCAGACCAGTCGTCTAACACTCAGGTACCCATTTTACTGATGGGTGAACATAGACAACCAGTGTAAGGAAACACGACTGATGTTTCCACCCCTTCACCAGGAATCGAACCTGGACCCTCACCGTGTGAAGTGAGAACATTTGCCACCAGGCCACGGGGCACCGTGATGGAGGAAGTATTGAACTATGCAAAATACAACTAATTTATTTCATTTCTGCAGTATACAGGTAATGTAGTTTACATGTAATAAAATATTGTTAGGCACTAAAGAAAACCACTAGCATGTGGTGCATTTCAGGCAGACTTACGAACAAATGAATTATCAAAGATACTAGAACAAATAAGGCAGAGAATAAGGAACAAGTAGAGCAATCCAGATTTAGAAGTGGAGGCAAATACCATACATAATTTTAAAAGTACAGGTGTGATAGGGCACTGGAGGCCAAGACTCAGTGAAGTTCATTAACTGGAGATAGATGGCAAGGTCATGGAGCTATTAATCAAATAATGACAACAATATTTTAAGGGGAAAACTCTGACTCACTACATTCCTACCACAGTACTAAATTACAAATTCATCATTCAAATCATAAAAATGAGTGAAAATATATCTGATCAACATCTTTAATCTGCTATAACATGTGCATACCTATCACACTAATTTATTACACCACTACCATTTACAATTTTGCAAGCAATGCCTACTTTCATATATCACTGAGTATGTTTATTCTTGCAATAATAATATCACTATCTCCTGAAGATACAAGTGTTCCTTCACTATTCAATCATTTTTTTTTATTGTTCAGTACATACTGGGTAATGTACAATTAAAAAAACAAGCTACTGATAATCTAGTGTATGAACCTGAGTACAGGTATTTCAGAAAGTTTAAATAATATTCAGTTTATACCTTGTGCAATGTATATGCATCAGCTTTTAATATTACAAGTACACTAAGTCAAATATAATATAAATTTTTAAGACAATAATGAATTAATCTAAACACAGCAAGAAAAATTAAAACTAAAACTTACTGCATTTGTAAAGCTCAATAAAAAAATCTTACAATCCTTAATGACCTAACAAACTTTCATCTAATAGATAATAAAGCAACAAGACTAATTGATAATTTTTTAGACATGTCAATGATAAGCGATAAAAAATGCTCTGTTGAAAATAAATACGAATCACTAACCTGTGTTCAATGACGAGGGCTCACTGATGTCCTGAGATTCATCAAGCTCCAGCGCATGATTAACATTAGCATGAACGGTGTTGGACATATCACGGGAAAACAGTGGGTTCTGAGAGTCACAACTTCCCTCCATCTTATATCTAACTGCTTGCTATGGCTTCTTTGGTGGCGAAGTAATTTACAATTTCAAAGTCATCTGAAAAAATCACCAAAATTGAGGAATGAGTACAGTACTGTAAAAGATCCTTTAGATAATAAATAGCTCGTTTATGAAATCTGTTTAAAAAAATTGACTTGGGGACCCCCAAAAAATATTTTTTTTCTGGTAGTAGAAGGTATGTACAGTAATTGGATAAGCTAAGGAAGGAATTAAAAGTTAGGATTTAACCCTTAACCCGTAAACGGTCCAAGCAGATTTACGTTCACATGTGTAGTGCTACAAAAGTAGATCTAAGCTTTTTTACATATTTTCACATATAACAAAAAAAAAGTAGATCAAAGTTTTTAACACATTTTCAAATGTAGAAAAACAAAAAGAAGATCTACTTTTTTTACATACTTTCAAATGTTGAAAAAACGTATATATACGTTTGGACCATTTACAGGTTAAAGTGTCCAAACGTAGATCTGCGTCCATGTGCGGGGGGCTCCAAACGTAGATCTACTTTTTTTACATGCTTTCAAATGGGGAAAATCAACGTCACAGCGCTACGCACGTGAACATAGATCTACGTTTGGACAGTTTAAGGGTTAAATATAAAATTATTCAGTCCTTTCAACAATAAGTTAATTTGGGTACATTTACACATAAATTTAAATACACAAGTTTTGGGTAATTACAATTTTCTTGCATAGTAACGTGTGTGTAAATTACCTAGGGTATGTGGATGGAAGTGGGAATCTGAGCATTGAAAAACATTTTTGGCAATGGGATGAGCTTGTGGAATAAACCAGCCTGGGGAATGTAGATCCCTGAAAATACAGTATTATGGATATTATGTATTTTATCACTATAACTTGAATGACATACATATGCTGTTAGAAACACTAATGATATTAACAAATTCTTAAAGTGTCATGACACGAGAAATAGTGTACATATGCTCAAGTGCTTATCCTATCTATACACATTTCCATTTATTCAGTTGCTCATAATGTCAGAACTTTTCCTCCCAAGTTGGCAACTTGGTAATGTCAGTGAGATCACTGGCATTAGCAAGTCAATAAGTTAATTTAGGTGTAATTACACATAAGTACAATCAAACAAGTTTTACAGTTACACTTGTCATGCATAGTAACATATGTGTAAAATACTTGGGATAACCCCCCAAAAAAGTTACTTATTTATTTCCATTGCAGTCCTTGTAATATCTTATAATTAGTTGCTTAGTCATTAGATTCAGTTGAAATCAGTCATGATTATAACCATAAAAATTAAAACACCTAAGTAACTCAACGGCATGTAAATCAGTTACAATAAAAGGAGGTGCAATACAAATAAAGTGAACTGAGTAATTTACATAAACATTAAGTAAAGAAAACAGCTTAGTAAGTTAGTTTATTTAGGCACAGATACACACTAGTACAATTATCATACACAAGATAAATTATCTAGGATAAATCAAATGTAACAGGTACACAAATGTTAACTATATACATAAAAATCACTTTTCTTCCTTTCTGTAGCTTCATTTGTTAGGAACATTTTTAGCTCTCTTCTTGAACTGGTTCATGCTAAGACTAGGTTTGACATGTTCAGGCAATCTTTTCAATTCCTTTATTACTGTATAATACATGGTATTTGAAGCCGGATCACCACCTGTAGGTACTACAAAACTGTGTTCACTTTCTCTAGTACCACACTGGTTTTGGTTCCTATCCTAGACAAAATTTGCTGAAAGATATTCCGTACATTACTTGTGAGCAATTTTATAAACATGATTTAATTTCATCAGCTGAATGCTATCTGCATCATTCAACCTATTTAGTTGTAATTCATCTTGGCCAACATGCTCTCTTGGACTCAGGTCCAGGATTAATCTCACTATTTTGTCCTGGGTGATTTTTAGCCTATTGTTTTGTTGTTGTTGTTGTTGAAGAACAAGAATAATCTACATGACATTTATTTATTTATTTATTTAGAAATTTTAGCATACAAACAGAGGTACAAAAAATACAGGTAAGAGCAGCATGCCAAAGCCACTTATACATTGTATAAGAACTAGACATAGGGTACTTCAAGCCTCAGTAGGAAGGCACAGTGCCTGTCTACAGAGGAACTTTAACCTGGCATTTGCTTTTCATTATTTACTACTCTGTTCACTATTAATGATATCCTAGGTTAGGTCATTATTAAATATCACATTAAACATTTTGATGACTTAGGTTAATTTGAAGTTAATCTTAGTTAATTTTAAGCCTGCCCATAATGCTCTGCATACAAGGGGCTTTTGGCATGTACACCCAACTACTATAATTCCTTGTACAACTATGTATCATGTCTTAATAAACTATCTATTTATCTATCTATATACAATAACTTATTTTTTCAAATCAAAATACAATTATTAACATATACTGCAATACCTAAATACACTTCAACTAGACCAATATGTGCAGTTGATCAACTATTTTAAATTTTTAAAATGATTACAGAGATGGAAGCACTAAACCCACAGGGTTTATACAACACCTGGGGAATGGAATGTGTTATCCTAGGTTCTCTACATATATACTGCTATGTATAATACTATATATAACTGTATATGTGTATACCTGAATAAACTTACTTAAGCTATCAGGTACTATTAAAGAAAGAGGAGTTAAAATTTAATTCCTGTGATCAAGAGCCCTTTGCCATCAAGAAACCTTCATTGAAGATTTTTATAAAAAATATAGGGTTATCCTAACCATCCACAAACGATCATGTGCCTATAATAATATACTTAATACAAATACCATACAATAATTCCAAACAAATCTTAAATGAAGAACATAAATAAATTTCAAATACTGTATATTTTAAGTCTGGTCACCTCTGTACAAGGTCAAAGACTCACTGAAAACAAAGGTTATTAACCTTATTTATTAGAAAGGAGCTTACATTGACACACACCTTCCACAGGTGACCCCTGAACCTCATGGTTATTGCACAAGAATGGTGGAAATGTCTGCAGCAGAGGATATGTAGCACAAGAAATGAGAGCAAAGATAAATGACTATGAGGTGGTGGTCGATAAGACTTGATGGCCGCCTCACTCACGCCTTTATTTTTATCCTGACCTGGAATTTCTTATTATATCAAGTAATTGTAAGTAAAATTGTATGGTGATAAGACAAGATGTGGGAAAAGACACCTGTGTACAGTACAAGATATATATTGAAGGAAACGTTTAAGAAGCCATTCGTGGAGAAACGTTTTCATTAATAAATGTCCTGAACTTTTTTTTTTTACCAAGTGTAATTACATAGCACAATCTATATAGTTAATTATATTTTGTACATACCGTAATATATATATGTCGTGCCGAATAGGTAAAACTGGCCAATTAGCAATAACTCATATAAAATTAAGTCCTTTCTAAAATTTTCTCTTATACGTTTAAGGATGTTTTTTTTCATTAATGTTAAAGTAAAAATTAATAGTTTTGCACCAAAAGAACTTTAGAAAACTTACCTAACCTTATTATAACAAGTGCAATTTAATTTAGCCTAATCCAACTAAATATATTTTAGGTAAATTTACAATAATTTAACAATAAACAAACACAATGAACTATATATATTTTTCGTTAGGTTCAGAATGACTTTTTTTGCGAAATTTTGCATACACAAATTTTCGTTTTACCTATTCGGCATGACATATATATGTCGTGCCGAGATAGCTATTTTGTGCAAAACTGGAAGAATCTTAATGTAATTAAACATATTATTATGGCTAATACTCTCTCAAAATATTACCTGGAATATACCTAAACTTACCTAAGGAACAATTATTTTATAGGGGTATGAAAAGTTTGCTTGTATTAAAAAAAACAAATAATGGCCGAGTACAGACCCAGCCATAAAGTAAATATTAGCCATGTTTTTAATGCATCAGCTGTTTCCCTATTAACCCAGAGTGCATTTTTTTTTGGCAAACTCACAGAACGGGTGGGGCTCGAACCCATGACAGGAAGAGTCTAAAACTCGTGGTTTTGAGGGGACCTGAGCTAGAGCACGTCCGTCACATTGGTGTGAAATTACTGTAAAAATCCGCATTTGTGGTCACAGTAGGGCCCAAACTAACCTCCCTATGGTGTAAAGAAATATACCTAGTTGGACGAATCTTGTCAGGTTGGTATGGACCAGTGAGTAACACACTGGCCTGTGACTTTCAGGACTCACTTGCCGTGGGTTCGAGTCTCACCGTTCAACAATTTGAGAAATTCCTTCCTCCATTTAGCTTCCCATAGTCTGAGCATATGTCGTATAAGTTTCATACATAGAATCGACAGTATCAGCAGCAGGTAAGCAATCTTAACTTATACCAGCACTGGCATATCAGTACCTTGGTGGTCGGAAGGCAAACTAGCAGTTCACCTTCGTAGACTAGAATGACTATATTATTAAGAGTACCATAAGAGGTAGTTTAATATCATTATTATGCATCTTATATTCATCATGTGGGCGGTAGCGTCCAAATATTACAGCATCACACAGACTCTCCGTCATGATGCAGCTTCTTAACAAAAGCTGCTACCTGCCCTGAGTTCTGTTCCTCTCGTTTTCAAATTGTTTTCATGTGACAAGTATCTTCACCAGGTGCCAGATCAACCAGGCTGTGATGGACATGTGGGGCAGCGGGCCTCCAGCATCAACAGCCTGGTTGACCAGGCAAGCACCAGACGAGCCTGGGCCATGGCCGGGCTCAGAGAGCAGATAAACTCTCGAAACTCTTCAAAGGTATATCAAAGGTATAAGGTATGTGAAGTTTGTTTCTGAGTCGGCCATGTTAGTCACATCTGATAAATATGTTTAAAAGTGCGAGGTTTTTACAAATTATTTTAATAATTTATAGAAAATTGGTTATTGGTTGTCGCAAAATAGATCTGATCGTGAGTCACATTTAAAGTATAATAAACTGCCTAGTGATCAAAAACCAAGATGATGTGTGTGAAAATTTATTAAGAGAGAAAAACAGGCGTGGTTGTTACGTCTGCAGAAAAAAGTGTTCAGTACACTTATATCAGGTAAGACCTGTATATTTTAGTATATTTAATATTAGTGAGCGTTCATGCAGGTACAGTGCTGTTAGGTAAGACACATATGCAACAGTTAGGTATCTTTATTTCGAAACGTTTCGCCTACACAGTAGGCTTCTTCAGTCGAGTACAGAAAAGTTGATAGAAGCAGAAGAGACTTGAAGATGATGTAATCAGTCCATCACCCTTGAAGTTTTGAGGTGGTCAGTCCCTCAGTCTGGAGAAGAGTATTGTTTCATAGTCTGAAACAAGGGTGATGGACTGATTACATCGTCTTCAAGTCTCTTCTGCTTCTATCAACTTTTCTGTACTCGACTGAAGAAGCCTAATGTGTAGGCGAAAAGTTTCGAAATAAAGATACCTAACTTGCATATGTGTCTTACCTAACAACCTGTCGGTATTTTATACCATTTTAAGGTACAGTGCTGCTAATATACACCCATTTTTGTGTGCAGTAGTCCACGGTTGTGGTGACATATCACTTAATATCTGCGAGTTATACAAATAAAGCTGTTAACATATTAGGGTTATCATATAACATAATCTCTAATGCAAATACATATAAAGTACATTAAACTACTCCTGTTAAACAGACTGTTCAACTGCCTCCCAGCATACATTAGGGGGATTACCAATAGACCTCTGGTTGTCTTCAAGCAGGCGCTGGACAGCCACCTGGAGTTTACCTGGAGAGAGTTTCGGGGGTCAACGCCCCCGCGGCCCGGTCTGTGACCAGGCCTCCTGGTGGATCAGCGCCTGATCAACCAGGCTGTTGCTGCTGGCTGCACGCAAACCAACGTACGAGCCACAGCCCGGCTGATCAGGAACTGACTTTAGGTGCTTGTCCAGTGCCAGCTTGAAGACTGCCAGGGGTCTGTTGGTAATCCCCCTTATGTGTGCTGGGAGGCAGTTGAACAGTCTCGGGCCCCTGACACTTATTGTATGGTCTCTTAACGTGCTAGTGACACCCCTGCTTTTCATTGGGGGGATGGTGCATCGTCTGCCAAGTCTTTTGCTTTCGTAGTGAGTGATTTTCGTGTGCAAGTTCGGTACTAGTCCCTCTAGGATTTTCCAGGTGTATATAATCATGTATCTCTCCCTCCTGCGTTCCAGGGAATACAGGTTTAGAAACCTCAAGCGCTCCCAGTAATTGAGGTGTTTTATCTCCGTTATGCGCGCCGTGAAAGTTCTCTGTACATTTTCTAGGTCGGCAATTTCACCTGCCTTGAAAGGTGCTGTTAGAGTGCAGCAATATTCCAGCCTAGATAGAACAAGTGACCTAGAGTCAGTACCTGACCAGCTGGGTTGTGGTTCGTACGTTGGATTACGTGCGGCCAGCAGTAACAGCCTGGTTGATCAGGCCCTGATCCACCATTAGGCCTGTCACAGACCGGGCCACGGGGGCGTTGACCCCCGGAACTCTCTCCAAGTATACTTCAGATGGATTATGAAATAACACTCCTCAGTCTACCTGTGCTGTTCTCTTCTGAGTTATTCCTATGCCAAGTCTGAGGGTTAGACTAAACATATATACGTTCCCTCCAGGCGAACCTTTTGCCATATGCAAGTCACTCTTATTTGAACAAGTGGTTATTTAACTACATGTTATTCTAGACTCCATCCTCACTTGTTCCCACTAAAAGACCAGTATCTCATTGTGCGCTGATAGGAGACATACTTTGATTTTACTTTCTCATATCGGCGCTGGACTGGCTCAATATTCCACAATGGCTCCTTTCTCGTGCTGGTATCCTTGGAAATGAGATCGTTGACCGAGCTGTAAACATTACTCATTCTCAGCCGGGTCTGGAAAATCTGATATTGGATATAAATGAATGGGCTCCCAGTAATAGGGCGGGCTTGTCATTAATTCTGGCTACCACACTAGGCACCTAGCTCTCTGATCTACTCATCTGGGATTCATTCTTGATTCTACGGAACCCTGTCTTAGGGCTCATGCTGAAGATCGTTGTTTAATGGTGCTGTAAGCTTATTTTAACTTTTATTATGTAAAATTTTCAAATAATTTACATATATTACTTTTTGCTTGTAAAATTCTAAGAGAGGACGCAGCTGTCCATCTTTCTGTTCCCTCAGAAACTACTACAGCCCTGCAAAGTGCACTTCTAGTTTAACCCACTACTGTGCATGTCGGGTCAGAAGCCCACGTCCTTCACTTCTCATGTAAGTATCCCTGTCTTTCCTTGTTGAGCCTAAATAAGGTTATGCTTCTGTTAAATGTTTTGTTTTTGCAACTTGTCTGCAGCTTTCCCCAGCCTCCTTGTCAACAGGAATGCCATGTCAATGTATATGTAGGTTAGTGTTTCTTGCGAGTGTTGTGATCATGAACTCAGCCTCTCCTCAACGATTGTATCTTTTTTTTTGTCTATGCCAGTTGGTCGCTTGAGGTATACATTATTGTATTAATATTGCTGTGCTATATTATACAGAATTCACACAGGCTATATACACCTAGAGGTATATGTCTTGGTGTATACACCGAGGTTTTAATTTAATTTTAGTAATTAAAGTATTCTTGACTGGTGGTGCAGAGGTTACATATTGTACAGCCTTAATAACCCTTGTACAGGTGATGGGCTTCAACTCCCATTAACTAACCTATTGATGTATGGCAGGAATTTTAAACTGAAAATTGTGTTGCTTGTATTACTTGTGCAACATCCCCCCAATGAAAAGCAGGGGTGTCACTAGCACGTTAAGAGACGTACAATAAGTGTCAGGGGCCCGAGACTGTTCAACTGCCTCCCAGCATACATAAGGGGGATTACCAACAGACCCCTGGCAGTCTTCAAGCTGGCACTGGACAAGCACCTAAAGTCGGTTCCTGACCAGCCGGGCTGTGGCTCGTACGTTGGTTTGCGTGCAGCCAGCAGCAACAGCCTGGTTGATCAGGCTCTGATCCACCAGGAGGCCTGGTCACAGACCGGGCCGCGGGGGCGTTGACCCCCGGAACTCTCTCCAGGTAAACTCCAGGTTACCTACAAATTGCTATCTTGCCTTGCGTTTTAC